GTCTCCTTCCCTGGAGCAGTCTCCTGTGGGTCTCCATATCCCAAGAATGGAGACTGGGTATATTGTCCTTCTGGGTCACTTCCCTACCAGACCCACGAGGTTGCAGACTGTCAGACCACGTGGCCCAGGTCCAACCCCGAGGCATATTGTGTTGGCCCCCCCTGGTATTCTCAATTTGTGTTAGTTTCCAACCTTTAAGAACTAGGGGGTTCCACATAAAGATCTAGATTTCTGGATTCTCATGAAAAATTGGAATATATGGCAGTACAAGGTCTGCATTCCCACAGTTGGCTGGAGCTGCAGAATTGTGGCTGTCGTGAACTAAGCACAGGCTCTGCAGTTCCCCACCATTCCCACTCTCCCTGGGGACCCCACACTCTGCCACTCAGCAGTGGAGTTATGTGGCTCAAGGTGTGGGTGTTGCATTCATATCGTCTTTATTGAGATCCTGGCTGCACCTTTCTGAGCAGCGTGGTCTTGGGAAAATTAATCTCTTGGTGCCTCATCTGTACAGTGGAGATAATATTACAGCCTACAGCATAGGGCTGATGTGTGGGCTAAATGAGATTAGAGTCATGCATGGTAAACACTTGCTAACTGTTAGCAGTTGTTGTGACTGTGCTGTTCCCCTTCACCCACTCACATCACCTGCTTGGCCTCGATAGCCTTTTGAGTTTAGACTGAATTAGACTGGGCCTTCAAGGTCAAGGATCTGGTGTTCTCATCCTTTTTTTGTTTGTTTGTTTGTTTGTTTTTTGTTTTTTCTCATCCAAGGACATCTTTCCATTTTTTGTTCAGATAGAGTGGGAGGGAGGGAGAGAGAAACATTGACACGAAAGGGACACATCGAGTGGCTGCCACCCGCACGACCAACCAGGGCCGGGGACAAACTGCAACTGAGGTACGTGCCCTTAGCGGGAACCGAACCCGGGTCTCTCTGGACCGCAGGCCAACGCTCTAACTGCTGAGCCAAACCGGCCAGGATGGTGTCCTCATCTTTTCAGTGGCTGCCATCCCAGTGTTTGGTACACAGCAGACATGCCCAGTGAGTGTGTGTTGAGTGACTGTATGAATGAGTTGGGAGCCTTGTAAGAGCAAGAGAGTAGGAGTTGCAGAGTGGTTTGTGGCAAGGGCTTGGCTGTTTGCATAGCCCTACTTTGCCCTGATTAGTCCCCCAGCTTCTGTGTACTTCAGTTTCCTTACCTATAAAATGGGATAATAGGTGTGTGTCACACAGGGTGGCAATGGACTCTGTAGGAGACTGTGTAAGATCACTTGGCTTATTTGGACACATGGTCCTCAGCGAGGCGGCGGTGTCATCATTTGACATTGTTCGTTCCTTTGGTTGTAAATCCTGAGAGGCTTTACTTTCCACACTTTTTTCTTCTTTGTCCTGTCTCTCCTTGCTTTCTCCCTGTTTTTCTGAGTTCAAAGAGTTTCACTTTGGAGACTAGCAGTCAAGATGTTTTTAGTTGCAAGAAATAGGTAGCCCTACTCAACTAGCTTAAGCAGTAAAGGGGAGGTGGGACGGGGGTCAAGGACAAAGCCCAGAGGGAGGGCAGACACTGGCTTTCTCTCTGTGATTTCTTGGCTCTGCTGGCTCTGAGGGGGCTTCAGCCTAAGGCTAGCTCCCCTAGTGGTCTCAGAATGGTCATGAGGGCTCAACGTGGGTCATGTACCTCTATCTGAACCAATTATGGGATCATGCTGATTAGCTCAGAACTGTTAGACCCCACTCCCAGAGTTGGAACTGTGGTCTTACCTGCCACATTGCAAGACTGATAGCCAGGTAGCCAGTAGGAGACATGAAGGTTCTTTCCGAGTTGTGCCAGCTGAGATGTGCCAGTGATGCTTTGGAAGCTGCGGGCTCCTCCTAGACCGGGATCCCATGAAGGTCAGCAGAGACCCCTGAGGCGTGCACCTTGGAACAGTGGTGCACCTTGCATCAGATGTTGTTGATGCCAAATATAGAATCAGGGACGTTGGCATTAGCCACTCAGTAGAGCAGGGAGGTCCGATCAGTTTTCTGAAACCAGGAACAACACTCTGTCTCTGTCAGGACCAGTGACCATTCTTCTGTGTGTGTGTACACACGCTCCCATGGTCCCTGAGGCGCCTGAGCAGGCACTGATTGCCCTAGGGCTGTGGGCCCTGGATTGACAGGGTGCAGCCTAGACTACAAGTTGGGGATGAAGACCTTCCTGCACTCCACGTACGTCCTGAGAGGGAACCACACTGTGAGTGAAGGCAGGCAGGGCTTGCTAAGCGTGGAGAGATGACTCATTTGAGAACCTCCCTGCTTTTAGCTTCTAGAACCTGGAACTGTAAGAAAGTGGGGACACTCAGGAACAGGATGGCCTGTGATTCTGCAGGGACTCTGCAACCAAGTGTGTGCGCGCGCCTGTGGTTTCCAGACACAGCTGCCTGGGTAGGCTTTGGCAGCAGACTATGGGATGTTGGCTTGGGTCACCCTTGGAAGAAGAGAATGAATAAATACATAGCATTCTCTGCAAGCACAGCACACCTTACATTTTGGAGATTTTCAGTGTCACCTGAAAAGAAAAAAGCTCTAGACATCTGTTCTGTCTTCCATCTGATTCCCAGGCTGCCACCAGCAGGTAGAACAGAGACTAGATAATGCAGCTCCGTGTGAGGTGGGCAGACAGCTGTAGCAGTTGAGGATGCTGTTTAGCAATTTACAAACGGTGGTGTTGTCCAGCATGTTGGGCATAGTGGGGGCAGAATGGCAAACCTGACCTCCTCCAGCCTGCAGCCAACTTCAACGAGCTTATTGAAGAGATGGAGAACCAGGATGCATTAAAAAAAAAAAAAAAAAGACAACTAACAATGCAAGGAAATGGGGTCACGGCCAAGTGAGGGGTCTGGAATGTAAATTCTCAGGGGCCAGGTCAGAGCACGTGCCAGGGAAAAGGTAGAGTGAGCTCCAGAGCCCAGAGAAGGGGCCGAATTTGAAAAGTGAACTCAGAGGTTACCAGCTGGGCAGGAACTGAGCATGTGAGGAAGGCCTCGGACCGTGAAGTGCCCGGAATGCCATGCTCGGGGCTTTGGACCTGACCCAGCACATCCCATGCTCCATTTACTGTATTTGATGTGGGCACCAGTGAGAGGAATCTGCCTTTGGGGCCTCTTTGTTGGTTATGTTTGCAGCCCTGGCGGGACCTCAGCTTGAGTGGAGAGGTTGTGACATGATCACTGGGGACAGGGGATAGGGAGAAAGGGCCAGCTACAAGAATAGAAGCTCTGTTGGGAGAGGGTCACTGGAAAGAGCAGGTTTAGAGGTAACCCTGACTTTGTGAGGGGACAGTACAACTTCCCAGAGGGGCCACATGGGGCCTAGGCTGCCAACACACACACTTGGGAGTGGTCAGTGTAGGGCTACAGTGTCTTAGCTGGAGGTGGGATTGGGGTGGGGTGGGTGTAGTTAGTGGGAAAGAGAAGGTGAGGCGTGAGCACCAGGGCTCTGGTTGGGAGGAAAGAATGGCTGGAAGGGTTTGGGCTGAGGCAACAGGCTAGGGCTGCAGAGAGGTCAGGGAGAGCTCAGGTGCTGTGGGACCCCTTTGTGGGAGCGTAGGGAGCCAGGGCCCCACTGTCTGGTCCTGAGCTCCCTCTGCCACCGTGCCTGTATCTGCATTGGCATAAGGCAGTGGTTCTCAACCTGTGGGTCGCGACCCCTTTGGGGGGTGGAATGACCCTTTCACAGGGGTCGCCTAAGACATAACAGTAGCAAAATTACAGTTATGACGTAGCAACAAAAATAATTTTATGGTTGGGAGTCACCATAACACGAGGAAGTGTATTAAAGAGTTACGGCCTCAGGAAGGTTGAGAACCACTGAGGGGCTGCCACTGTCCCAATCAGCAGCTGCCTTCAGTGGGCCTGTTTCCTCCGTCTGGTGGTGTGGGAAGGATGGCAGGATAAGACTCCGACCCGCTGCCCTTTCCTGTCCTTGCTCTTTCTAGCTGGCAGTTAGGGAAAGGGGGCTGGGAATGGAGGAGGCGTGGTTCTGCCCAACACAGAGCTGTCAGGGGCCAGCCCTCCGGAGGGGCCAGTCCCAGGAAAGCTGAGCCTGGGAACTTTCTCTCGCAGGACAGCATTTTACTCTCATTCCCAGGGAGGCCATACAGATTGGAGTCTGACCGTGACCTGCTGCTTTGGGTCCTGGAGGTTTCTTTTTATAGTGCTGTGGGCCAGCTCCAGTGACCCCAGCTTACTTGGGACCTGCTGCCTGCCTCTCTGCTGAGGCCAAGTCGCCACGTTCTCATCCGAATCCTCTGCCTAAGCAACCAGGGCTGGAGTGGAGTGAGAGGGTCTCATGAACCAGAGCCTGGGGGGTCCCTAGAGAACCCCACTGTGGCAGGAGGGAGGAAGCCTCAGAGTCATCATGCCTTGGAGACTGGCCCTGAGACCCAGTGGTGGGTCCGAGTGGTGCCAACCCCTTTAACAGGGCCCATGTGTGCATCCCACTCTTGGGTGCATGAGGAACAAGGGTGCACATGGAGGCTCCTACCCAGAGCTCAAGTGAGGGAATGGAGCCAGCCCTGTCTCCGCTTGATCTTACTTCAGTAGGAGTGTCTAGGAGGTCTGGGGGGGGGACCCCAAGAACATCATACTCTTCAGACTTGGCCTCTTGAAATCTTTACTTAAGATTCAGGGAACTTCTGGGGCCTCCTTCTGGACAGGAGGACAGGTAAGCCCTCAGGGGTAGCAGCCAGATGCCCAGGCCCCAGCATCCCTTGCCAGCCCTGGTGGAGCAGGGCCATGGGTTTATGGGCCTTTTCTGAGATGGATTCGTTGGCCTTGAGGTCCACTGGGCTCCCTCTGTGGAAACCTGGCCTGGAATTGGTGCTGTGGTGCACTCATGTTGTGTCCTGAGATATGCTGAGAATTCAGATGGAGGTTTTGACTCAGATTTATCCTACCCCAACTTGACCTCTCTTCCCCAATGGGCTCATGGCCTCGCTCTATTTCTCTCTTAGCAGAATGCAGAGCCAGAGCCCCGGAGCCTCTCCCTGGGCGGCCATGTGGGCTTCGACAGCCTCCCCGACCAGCTGGTCAGCAAGTCGGTCACTCAGGGCTTCAGCTTCAACATCCTTTGTGTGGGTAAGTGTCATGGCCTGGCCAGGGGGCAGCCTCAGACAGAGGATCGGGGAGGACCTTCTGGGAGATGGGGCACTGCTGCCCTGGCCACCTGTCGAGCTATAAGGGGACCTCCCAGGCAGAGTGACACTTTAGGGGGTCAGGATGAGGCTTTGGTTGGTATCTCTGCCAGGGTCAAGGACAGAGTTGGAGCCCAGGCTTGACTCAGAGTTGCCTTGAAGAGTCAACAGGATTAGACATGTGAAGGTGCTTTGTAAACTGAGAGTATTTATCACAGAGATTTAGGTTGTTTGTTTACTTAAAACACATTGAGTGTTGATCCTGCTCTGTGTCTAGGACACTATGTCAAACAAGACTCTTCCTCCATCACAGTGTCATGTAGTAAGAGCTCCCACACATGTCTGAACTAATACAGCCCCAAACGGGGAGGCTCTGGGAGATGCCTTGTGCCTCAGGGCCTGGGGCTCCCAGGGGCACGAAGAGCTTGGCCAGACCCTCCACAGGAGCCTAAGCCTTAGCATCTGCTGGGCTGTGGGGGCCGCTTGGGAAGCAGCCTATCCTCAACTCCCCGGTTAAAGCCACATGGTGCTGGGGCCACCCAGAGCAGCTGGACCAAGCCTCTGTTGGCCTCTGGTCCTGCTGGCCCCATGAGCATCCTGGACCTGGAAGGGATGGTGTGCAGAGCAGGTGACTGGGTCCCATTGAGGCCAGCAAAGGTCAGTGTCCTGTGTGTCTCACGGCTGCCTGGCTCTGCCTCTCCCCCTCCCTGAGGAAGCATCTTACACATCCCACATTGCCATATCTCATGTCCAAAAGCCTTTTGACTTTTTCTTCCACACATTATTTCTGAAGCCACTGAAAAGGGATGGCTCCTGGGGACAGGGACAGTGAGGGATGCAGTGGGAGGCCCTCCCCTCTCTCTTCTGTGGCAGCTGAGGGTGCCTGAGCCCCACCCAGCCTAGCCAACAGCCAGGGACAGCTCCAGGCACAGCCTCTGACCTCCTTTCACCTCTCCTCTCCGCTTCCCAGGGGAGACTGGCATCGGCAAGTCCACGCTGATGAACACACTCTTCAACACGACCTTCGAGACTGAGGAAGCTAGTCACCACGAGGAGTGTGTGCGCCTCCGGCCCCAGACCTATGACCTCCAGGAGAGCAATGTGCAGCTCAAGCTGACCATCGTGGATGCTGTGGGCTTTGGGGATCAGATCAATAAGGATGAGAGGCAAGAGGCGGGAAGGGCGGCCCCACCCAGCCTCACCCCGTCCCACCCATGTTGGCCTTGGCTCTGACCTTCACCTGAGCACTCCTCACTCCCATCTGTCCCCATACGAATAACCAAGCCCCACACTTCGCAGGGCCAGGGGAGGGCCTGTCAGGGAAGAGCTGAGGGCCTGAGGACTCTGGGGGTCAGGAGAAGGGGTCCAGATAGGACTCTCCAAGCTGTTTATTCCTAGGGAGAGCCTGCCGGTGGGCAGGGTAGCTGGGCTCCCAGGCCCCAGCGAGGCCCAGCTGCCTGCCTCCAGGGTGATGGAGCTGTCTGTAGTTACAGGCCCATTGTTGACTACATCGATGCGCAGTTTGAAAACTATCTGCAGGAGGAGCTGAAGATCCGCCGCTCGCTCTTTGACTACCACGACACGAGGATCCACGTGTGCCTCTACTTCATCACGCCCACCGGCCACTCCCTCAAGTCCCTGGACCTGGTGACCATGAAGAAACTGGACAGCAAGGTGCACTCCACCTCCACCCCCAGCTTGTTCCATGGGCTCCCGTCCTCCACTGGTGTGACAGTCTGCTACAGTCCCCAGGGGCTCTGCTGGTTGGGGGCTTGCAGACAGCCTCTTGACTTGGCCCTGTCTCTTTCTCTTTGTCCCTACTGCTCCAGTGGGCACTCCCTGCTCTGGGCTTTTACTCCAGAGCTCTGTCTCCTGGGTCTGGCCCTGAGCCCCTTTCTTCCAGCGGAATTCGTATCCTCAGCCTGCTGGCTCCTGGCCTCTTCTCCCTCCCTTCACCGTCTGACCCTCGCCCCAGAGCATCCCAGTTCTCTGCTCATTTTCTCTTTCTCAATTTCTAGTTCCTCTGTTCCCTTCACTTCCCCTGTCCTTCCTGCCATGGATTTCCCTTGGGTTCTCCTGAGCCCACTGGGGAGAGGAAAGTTACGGCCCAGAACTGAGAGTGCGAATGAGGAGTAGGGACCGAGAGGGCGGCTTCATGGGGACAACGGGAAGGGCTTGGGGTCCTCTTGGGAATGCAACCCTACAGTCACCTGTCAGCTCACGTGACCTTCCTCCCAGCGAACCCTGTCTTAGGAGGTCATTTTCATTGTGAAAATGGGATAACTTTGAGGAAATTTTGAAGACTTCCTGTGGCTGCTGCTGCTGCTGGGTCATTTTACCTGCTTAGGTGGGAGCTCAGTCCTCTGCCCCTGCTTGTATCAGGTCTCAGGCCCATTAAGACCTGCAGGGAACCCTGGGTCAAAGCTGGGTATGCCCAGGAGACTAATTTTGGGGCTGGTTTGGGGGAACAAGGGCTGTAGGAAATATTGCTATCAGCCATCAGAATGGCCCCGGGGGGCTGGGTTCAGGCTGGGTCTCCCCGTGGAGCAGCTCTCTCTCTAGCTTCCTGCCTCTCTGCCCAGGGTTGTGGCCAGGGCAGGGCTGTTCAGTCGGGGAACAACTAACATGCTGCCCCCTCTTTCCTGATCCTGGCAGGTTAACATTATTCCCATCATTGCCAAGGCTGACACTATCTCCAAGAGTGAGCTCCACAAGTTCAAGATCAAGATCATGGGCGAGTTGGTCAGCAATGGGGTCCAGATCTACCAGTTTCCCACTGATGACGAGGCTGTTGCGGAGATTAACGCAGTTATGAATGTGAGTGTTGGGCAAGGGCCTAGGACTGTGGGGCCAGAGGGCTTGCAGCCGGCGCGGGTCTCTGACACATCCCTGGGAAACTCATATTCCACAGGGTTTCAGTCTTACCTTCTCCAAGAAGGACAGGTGGGCATCTGGGAGTCGGTCAAGTCATGTCCTATGGACAAGGGACGGGAGGAATGAGTATTGGGCTGATACTGGGGCTTCCCTAGGTCTGAGTTTCACAGGATATGGAGTTGGGGTGGGGACCTGAAACTTGTAGGAGTGAGTAGGCAGGATGCCAGGGCTGAGACTTAGGGAAGAACCAGACCCACAGGTCCTTTGAGGGAGTTTCAAATGGCCCCTGGGGAGCCCAAGTGCTGAAAGAACACCCTAGAACATGAGGAAGGTTTGTAGGTTTGGCCCATTCCCCTGTTTGGAGGTCCCAGGGATACTTCTCGAAAAGATAGCCAGAAAGTGAGCATCTGGCCAGGCCTCGTTCAGCCCTGTGCTCACACATCCTTGGGCCCCTTTCCAGGCGCACCTGCCCTTTGCTGTGGTGGGCAGCACCGAGGAGGTGAAGGTGGGGAACAAGCTGGTCCGAGCACGGCAGTACCCGTGGGGAGTGGTGCAGGGTGAGTGGTGGGGCGAGCACATCCCCAGGTGGGGCACGGAACTTAGTCCCCTGTCCTGCCTGCTGCCTGTAGCCCCTGTCCTGTGTCCTCCCTGTGACTTCCTGTGGCCTGTCCTGCCTCTGGAGTCTGCCCCTGTCCTCCCGTGCCCATCTGCGTGCCTGCCTGATGCCCCATGTGCCCTCTGCTTGCAGTGGAGAACGAGAATCACTGCGACTTTGTGAAGCTCCGGGAGATGCTGATCCGGGTGAACATGGAGGACCTCCGCGAGCAGACCCACAGTCGGCACTATGAGCTCTACCGACGCTGCAAGTTGGAGGAGATGGGCTTCCAGGACAGCGATGGGGACAGCCAGCCCTTCAGGTGACATCCTGAGCACAGAGTGAACCTATCTTCCCAGCCTCAGCCAGATGTGCCATGCTTCTGGGGTCCTATGAACCAAGGAGCGAGGCTGTCAGGACCCCAGCATTCTCTCGCCCCCAGTGCCCACATGATTCGGCTTCTCTGGCTCTGCCTACCCTACCCCGCGATAATCCCCCCATTGGTCTCTTTTCTCTGGGTCTCCATAGCCTGCAGGAAACATACGAGGCCAAAAGAAAGGAGTTCCTGAGTGAGCTGCAGAGGAAGGAGGAGGAGATGAGGCAGATGTTTGTCAACAAAGTGAAGGAGACAGAGCTGGAGCTGAAGGAGAAGGAAAGGGAGGTGAGTGCTGGGCTGGGTTCTGTGGTGAGGCCGAGCCCAGCTGGGCGGCTGGATGGCCTGGCACCTTCCTGGCCCACACGGAAGCCCGGGTTCTCCCCTTCTGCTCCCAGCTCCATGAGAAGTTTGAGCACCTCAAGCGGATCCACCAGGAAGAGAAGCGCAAAGTGGAGGAGAAGCGCCGGGAGCTGGAGGAGGAGACCAACGCCTTCAACCGCAGGAAGGCAGCCGTGGAGGCCCTGCAGTCTCAGGCCTTGCACACCACCTTGCAGCAGCCCCTGAGGAAGGACAAGGACAAGAAGAAGTAGGTGGTGGGCTCCCTGCGCTGCACTGGCTTTTGCTCTCTCTTGGGTGCTCACTCTGTCCCCCGCTTCCTGTCGACTTTTGTTCTCACTCATGCTCACTTGTTTTCCATTTTACTCTCTCATTTTCATTTGCCCTTTTACCTCCTTCTTGTTCACCTTTCTTTTTCTTTCACTGGTGATCCTCATATCTCTAGATATCAAGTATTTGTGTGCTCTCTCTTGCACAAGTGGCTCCTCTCTCCCCCACCTCTCTAACTCTCTCTCCTGCAGCCTCCACAGAGCTGGGTGGTGAAGGCTGGGCCCACAGGCAGGGACTGGCCCCTGAGCGTGTGCAGGGGTCTCAGGCAGGTCTTTCAGGCCAGGAGAGGGACGGGGCCTGGGAAGATCAGCATTTCCTGGCAGATTCCAAAAGCTCCTGTGGTTTCTGCTTAGACAGCTCTGGTGTGTCCCCCAGTCCCTGAGGCAGTGGACGTGGACCCCCACTGGCTGGCAGGTGGTGACTGAGAACAGTGGTGAAGACTTGATCCCAGCTGGCACTGACCCCTGAACCCTCTATGGTCACTGTCTGGCCGAAGGAGGGATAGCAGCTCCTGAGTGAGGCTCTGAGAGTCCTGCTCGGGAAAGGGGCCGCCCCTCCTGTGGAGGCTGCAGGCGTTTCTCTTGAGAGTAGGCTCCGGAGAGAGAAGAATGGGGGATGGCAAGGAGGTTCCTCCCAGCCTCCAGGAATCAGCCAACAGGTTGGCCAGGTGGGGACAACACAGAGTCACTTTTCCTTGGTGTATTTTTTCATAGCCTGTTTCCACACTTTCAGAGGGGGACAAAGCCAGGCATTAGGAATTGTGCGCCAGTTCTCCTTCCTAAGGCCTGCGCTCTGCTCTGGAACAGACCTTCCTTTCCATAGTCTACCCCATCCTGCTGACTGTGGTCCCATCCCAACTGCTGGGACAAATGAGCCCCTGCCTGACCCCAGGAGGACACCAGCCCCACACTTTCCTCAGCCATGTGAATTTGCTTTTGCTTCTGCTTTGCTTTTGCTTCCAGCCTTCATCCCCCATCCAGCCTTGGCTTGGTGAGTGTGAGGGCTCTGTTAACTGGAACCTGTGTGGATTTCAAGCTAGCAGCTCAGAAATATGGTTTTTCCTGGAAGAGGGTACACAGGTCCGACTCAGGTGCTGACACCCAAAGTGACTTTGTCTCGCTCCCTGCCAGCTTGGCCCAGGCCATAAAGGAAAGTCAGGCAGAGTCCTCCTAAGAAACAAGCCAAGGAGAAACCACTCAGAAACAAAGACAGGAACCTGTGGCCAGGTCGGGGTCTGAGGGCCAGTGGATGGGGTGCGTGGGCACCAGCACAGCTCGCAGGGTGGGGGCTCATCACTGGTGCCAGGTCTCCTTGCTTCTCCTGTGTGGCCTGGGCCTGGAAAACAGGTCTTTTCTGTTTGCTGGACATGCCAGAAAGCTTCAGTCAGTTTGGCCTCTAGGAGAGAGATCTCTCCTCCCAGGCTGGCCTGGTGGAGGCCAGGAGTGGTGTAGGGGAGGTGGCTGGGAGCACCCCTCCCTCTTACCCGGGTCAGGGGAATGGGGTGAGTCAGGAGTGTATTTGGTGGTGGTGGTGGTGGTGGTGGTTATGACCATTTAGTTGAATGGTTTTGATTTGTATTCTTCAAATTTTAATCCATTTTTGCAAAATTATTTCCCAATCAGATCTTGACCCTCAGCCTGGGACTCCACAAACTGAAGTGAATTCTCTACTTTACTCGTGACAAATGCCAAACTGACTGCCCTTTCCCAGTGTCCATCTTGCTGTCTTTTGCTTCTGTCTGATTTGGTTGTCTGCATATCTTTTAATGTGTCTATTTTTGTTCTGTTTGTTTTATTTTTATTTTTCAGTTAACGCACGCACAGACTTACATGTCAAGAGCGGACTTTAGCCTTTCATGTGTTAAGTTGCTTGAGTTACACCTTGTGACCCTTCTCCCATAACATGGTGTGAGGACGGACTGGGAGCCGGTACAGACTCCAGTGTTTACAGCCCTGCTCTGTCCCCCGCCCTGCCCCCAGCCGCCCTGGGCCTGGTGGGCCACCTGTCTCTATGCAAACACGACAAAGCCATGAATGCTGGAACCCAGAACTGACGAGGTTTATTTTTTTCAGAGCCAGTGGCTGGTCTTCCATTTACAGTGTCACTATTCCTTGACGGAGCCGTTCTGTGCCGCGCTAGCGAAGGCCCCGCGGTGCTTGGCTAATTGTTCAGCGTCAAGACGGCAACGATTGCGGTGCCTTAGGTGTGGCCGTGTGGTCTGGTACACATGCTGCAAAATTTGCCCAACTCCCCTTCATTTTAATTTTTCTAACCGAGAGCTTAATTTCAATAATAACTTTTCAAACACTTCTAAATTTTTATTTTGTCACGAGTGTAAAGACGAATAATATCCTATCCCATTATTTTCATAAGTAACACAGATTCCCTGATTTTTAAAAACTAAAAATATCTCTAAGCCTTTTTTATGTAAAAGGATCCCTATGCTATATAGGGAGAGGTGGGTAATAAACATCCTGTAATGACAGTGTTTGGACTTTCTTTGCGGATGAAAGTGGAACACGAACGAGACCACGTCCAGTGTTTTCACTGTGAATGTAAATGGAACAGCAGCCCCAAGCCCTAGTCTGTGTGCCCCCGAGGTGCTACCTGTAAACAGGGACCAATTCCATGTGTGTTAACTGTTTGACTCCCACTAAGACCCCCAAACAGTCCTGCATGTTCCAGATGCACGGAGTGCTCAGCTGGGAAGAGGTTTTTATCTCAAGGTCCTTGCTTTCTTTTTTTCCTGGCTGAGTCACAGGGCAAAAGATGAAGGTGTCTGATGTCTAGGGGCAATTTAAGAAAAAACTGCCAGCAAAGGAGCTTTTCCCCTTCAGCTGCATTCTTAAGGGGGCTGTTTTAAGAAAATACTACATCGTTGGTACTATGTTCCTGTTGGTTGGCAAGGCACTGAGAGGATCAGGTTTGAAAATATGTCCTGATAAAATGGGAGACGAGAAATGAATAGATGAAGGGGAGGATTTCACGTAACGTTGATAAGGCCCTGTGCTGGGCACAGGCTCCCCGATAACCTGCAGCCCTCCCTTCAAGGACATTACAGTTTAGTGCACTCCCTGCTGGAAGCCTTAGGCAGCTGCGCTGATTGATTTGGGGTTGATTGCTTTTCATGTCCTCCTTCTTTCCCATTGCCTGCTATATCGATGTGCAGGGCCACGTTCTGGCTTCCTTCTGCTGTTCTGGGATGGTGCTCCATTCAGAGTGCGGCGGAGGGGTGAGCTGTGTGTGTCCACTGGGGCATGGCCAGAAAAAGGCAGCCTTTGTACGCAAGGGGCTCCACTTGCCAGGAGCAAAGCACGTTTTATTGATGCTCAAAGTGAAAATTCTCCCAGTGTTATGCCATGACCACGAGTGGATCTAGATTTTGAAGGGGTAGACATTTGAACAATTTGAGAAGCTTTCTTCAAGAAAAAGAACACGAACACACAATTAGGTACGGGGCCTTGAGGATTAAGCTCCATTAGCCTCCCAGTACATCCATCTCTGGTTGTGACTGATTACTGATGCTTCAGTACAGGTGTCCAAAAAGGTAAATCAGATCGCTAAGGCAGATGTGGCTTGTCTTTAGGGTAATTATATGTCTGAAAGTATATAAACTTGGGCAGAGTATGATCTGAAGATAGCCTGTGTTGGCAAATGTATTGCTGAGGGTGAGGCTGGATGACTCAGTGGGTTCACTGGTTATAGAAGAAATGAGGACTCCTGGTCCATGAGCCAACTCAGGACTTGAGTGGGCAAATTCTGCCACCCCCCCCCCCCATCATAGCCTGTGGGCAGCCCCCAGAGCATACCGGAAGGCCAGAACTGTGGCTGGTTACCTGCCTGCGGGAGATCTCTGGGGGGGCTTGTCATTGTTGCATTTTCTGGGGTCTGAGCTGCCTCCACAGGTCGCATTAGCTTTAGTGAACCTCACTGCACTTCTTTTCCCTGTGCTGTGTGTGTTTGGAATTTTGTCCTCTTCAACTGAGACCAAAGTAATCCTTGGTGCAGAAGGTGAGCTTAAAACTGCCATTACTTAACAAGCTGCCCCTCGTGGCATGTGTCCCCTGCCTGCAGAGTCTGATTTCCCCTCCTTTTTTTCCTCAGTAGCATTGATTGGCATTATTTGAGCTGTCAGTGGGATTATGCTGGCATCTACTATCATGTCTTTCATGAGTCAAGTTGGTTTGGGGTAGAATCACCATATAATTTATTGTCCAAACTGAGACGTTTGAGAGTGAAAGGAGATGCTGTAAATTATTGCAGCTCAACAGGCATAAGCCGGAACTATCTCAGGCAAACTGGGAGGTATGGTCACCCCAGTTATGGGGAACTGGAGCCTAGCTGGTTTGTAATGGTGCAGACTGACTGCATGTATGTTTTTATGTCTATGTGGGTTCCCTGCTCAGTGGGGCTCATAGTACTGGATCAGAGGCCTGAGGGAAGTGTTGGCTTGCTCGTCTGTTATATTAACATGCTTTTCTAAAACTGCTTCCTGTGTTAATTCATTTACTCCTTCATTCATTGACTGTTTTTGTTCCTTTCCATTCACTTTGTACTTGTTCCCCCCCCCCCCATTAAATTTTGCATTTATTTTGAGGTGTTTTTTTTTTGTGGTGTCTTTTTTGGACAGTAGCTTTTCTGATTTAACAAGTTTCCTAGCCTATTAATCTGCTACAACTGTGGTAAAATACAGCTTGTCTTTCCTGTGAACGTTGTGGGGTGGGTCAGCTTCTATAGGAATTATAGGAATTATGCAGGACATGAAGAAGGCAAACCCTGCCCTCGAAGAGTTTGCATCGTCGTGGAAGAGGCTTGACCTGGGACAGCTAACACCTGAGTTCTTATTGTGCGCCAGGCATTGCTCTAAAGTTCAGTCCATGCATTGATCCCTCTAATTTTCATAAAAACTTTATGATTAAGTACCATTTCCCCCATTTCATAGCTAAGGCACAGAGAGGTTAATTAATTACCCAAAGTCACACAGCTAGTAACTGGAGACATTGGGATTTGAATATTGGTAACCTGTACCCTTAATTCCTGAGCTATAACTGCTCTTTGGCAACATTATGAGTGTTGGGAGAGCGGTGGAAATGCAGCCAGTATGAAAGTGTTCAGTCGGACTATGTGGGTTGGTGGACCTGAGGGGGTTTTGTAGAGGTGGGATGCCCTGGCAGGTAGGCAAATATTTGGTTGAGGAAGGTAGACCTGTGGTTAAGAAAGTATTGACAAGCTCATGGGTCCATTTGTAGAGGTGTCTTCTCTGTTTGGCACTAGACTAGTCTCTGGGAAGACCAAAATGAAGGGGTTGGGACTAAAGTCAGGAATCTGACAGCCCAGCAGGGAGATGGTGTGCAGACATCTAGTGACAGCTCAACTCTACCCACAGAGGCAAGGAGCAGGGAGGAAAGTCTTCACCAAGATTTGAAGGACAGAGATTCTCCTGGAAGCCAGGGGGAGAAGGGCCCTGGTGGAGGGAACAACATTGTGCAGATTGGCTCACCCATAGAGGGAGGTAGTATTTGGACACATTTAAGAAAGGGGCCTGATGCTCACCTACCCTGCACTTCCCTTAGCCCAACTGAGCTTTCTCCCATCTTTATTTTCTGCAGCCACAGCCCTTCACCAGTCCCTGTCCTGTGGTGGGGACAAAAGGAGAGTGGATTGTGTCTATATTTCTCCCACCACAATGATCCCCATTCTCTGATCTGAGGTGGGATATGCATTCCTAATCTAAAAAAGAAAGAAAGAAATGTTAGAAGAGAGTAGGATGGGACCCCAGTGCAAGCTTGAACAGCATCAAAACTTTTTAAACACACAAGTGGTACTTTGGCAATACGTAAGTTTGCTTCCCCAAAGAAGAGGAATTTTATTTACAGAGCCTCAAGACTGTCCCTTACCCCAATACTGGGCCTCACAGATCTGCCTTCTTTGAAATTCAGTTAGATTAGCTCTGGGGACACAGCTGACATCCAGAGCTACCTAGCTAAGAGGTCCAGATACCTCCCATCAGTTCCCCAAAGTCAGAGCCTGAGCTGGTGTGGGCTCTCAGGATAAGCCTCCACCCCACCCACAACAGTGCCCACTGAAAGTGGAGGGAAGGGGGCAGAGGACATTCATGGCCACTGGTGAGAGCTGTGGCCATGAGCTACATGCTGCTCTCAGCATCTCTATTTGTGCTGGACTAGAAGATAGTTATTGATGGGACCAGGAGATGGTAGTCCAACTGTGTCTGACTCAAGCAAGTCTAAATGCATGGTACCCAATATATGTAAAGTAAGATTCAGACAGGGTTGCATGGACTTAGAGTTTATTTTTATAAAAGCTCCAACAAGCAAATTTGTTTCAAGAAAAAGCTGGGATTGGTACTGACTACAGTGCAGACACTTGTAGTATATTTGGGCCTTGACCACTTTGTACCCAGTAGCAGATCATACTCCCCAGTGCTTAGCACATTTACAAAAATTGTTCACATTGGGAAGGCTTCACAAAACACCTCTAAATGTGTGGCTCAGTTATCCACAGCCCAACAGTACTTACACAGCTCCAGCTGCATCTCTGCCAGCTGGACTCCACTGCCTGAAGAATGGCTCTATAGTGTCACAGCTTCAGAGAGGCAGCTGGCTTCTCCCTCAGCCATGCTGACCTCCTCCTCCTCCTTCCGGCAGCACAGTGGCTGGAGCAGGCTCAGCCTTGAACCTGGTCATCTCAACAAAAGCTCTCAGAGCTGCAGGCCCCCATCACAGCAGTTACACCTTGTAGTATCATTCTTTGGCATAAAAATGTCTAGTTATGCCAATCAACTACTTTGTTTAAGAGTAACAAAGGAAAAGTGTTCTTTTTAAAAAATATTTTAAATTGATTTTTTAGAGAGAGAGAGAGATAGAAACACCGATGTGAGAGAGAAACATTGATGGGCTGCCTCCTGCACACCCCCTACTGGGGATCAAGCCCACAATCTGGGCATGTGCCCTGACCAGAAATCGTACGGGTCCTCTCAGTCAATGAGAGGACACTCAATTCACTGAGCCATACCAGCCGTGCTGGAAAAATATTCTTAAAGCTTGGTCAAATCACCATATGTTAAACAAAGCATATTTTATAATGCAGTCCTTGTAAAAAGACATGTCATGGCCAAATCAGGGTAAATGTGCCGAGAGAGACTGTCCTATTTGCAGTGGCAGGCAGGCTGGCTGGGGCTTGAAGAGCTGCATATGTGCTTGATACATGCCTGGGAAGCTGGAAGGAGCCGGCCAGCTCTGGTGGGCAGAGCAGCAAGAACTGGTCATTCAAAACCAGCCCAGCCCTTCAGCCCTGAGCAACGCCTTGCTCTGGCCTCCTATTCCAGCTCTCTTGGGGGCTGATACCAGCCCTTGCTGGAGAAGGAAAACCAAGCTGCAGTATAAGCATCCATTCATTTTCCCGGGAGAAGGCCCAGGGGAAAGAAGGAAGCAGGAGCATGATCTGCCCTTACCTCTAGTGACCCCAACCTCCCTCCCCCTCCTTATTTTCTTCGAAAGACCCAGGAATTTTTTCTCAGTTCTTCTAGGGCTTTCTTCCTTTCTTGTTACAAGATCCATAAAGCCTAGAATTTAGAGGAGGCCAAGCAAGGAGAGGTTGCTATGACACTCTGCAGGGCACTGGGGCAGGGGTACAGGCTGGCAGGTAAAAGAGAAAGTTGTCTGTGCAGGAGGAGCACTAAAAGCTTCTCAGCTGCTTCTTTACCAGTAGCCTGCAGTATACCAACTGCTCAATACTAAGCTTTCATTAAAACAGAGTGGTCATCTTTGATGCAGGACCATTTCACATTCTAAGGAACAAGCAGCTGAGTGTCAGAATGTTAGCATGGAGCAATTTGAGGGAAGGGGTCCAATCACAAAACTTAAGCACATTAACCTTACCACTTCAGTGACATCCATCTCCAACCTGAGTAACACTGTCATGAGTCTAACGATGAATTCCATCCTATCCTGTCCATCTTGAGAGATTCTGAGCCCCGCAGAGAGAGTCTGGTATCATAGACTCATATAGAGGGAGGGAGGCCTGAAATTTACACTCCTCAATATTAAGCTCCAGGTTGTTTCCCCTGAACTGGACACATCCACCCATCCTCTTGGCCATAAGGGCTGCCATAAGATAAAGCTTCTCTCACTGTCAGAGAAACTCACCCAACTGGCCCAGTAAAGAGAACATGTGCCCCATATTCAAGTCCAGAGGGCATGCCAAGTGGAAAGCCTAGAGCCCTTCAGCAGACTCTATACAGAACCATCATGGTCAGAGAATCTTCTGGAGTCCAAAAGGGCCAAGAAGGGCCATGGGTACCCTTTGTGGGACAGAGTGTGGCAGCTCAAGGAACAAAACTGAGAGCTTGGTCTGGGACAAAGTTGATGTGTACCTGTGCTTTCTTTAGCAGATCAGATATAGGAGCATACCAGTCGGGCATGAGCCTCTCCAACTCTAAGGTGATGATGACCAAGGCCAGTGTGGAGCCCTTGAACTGCAGCAGTTGGTGGCCTGCCATACAGTGTTGCAGCTGCTTGGTCAGGGACGCGACGTGGAGGGAAGGATTCCTCTGAGGCAGCAGCTCCACCACGTGGGGCCAGCCCACGGCCACCAGGGCATGGAACTGGAGATTGTGGTTTTTAATGTTAGAACAGAAAACCCCATACTTTTCATATGTCAATGACCAAAAGTGCAAACAATTTACATTTCCATCAGGGAACATCAAATGTTGCCCAACCCCTTTCATTTCCATCCTTGGCCCCGGACAAGGGGCTTGAGGCTTAATGCCTATTCTGTGGTCAAACAGCTTCAACCTTGGAGAGAAAAGGTGATCTGTTTTGTAACATGGCCATAAGTGTCCCAAAGTACCTAGATAATAATGTTTCAATTATGAAAGATAGAAGAAGCTCTTCAAGATTAAGGTAGCAGAAAAGTTACTTGTATCTGCTTAACACCAGAACAAACTGCAACTTGGCAACAGTGTGGCCAGTTTTCATAATGAAACAGCCTTTAGTGATATAACCTTCATGCTTCATAACAGGCCAAAATCCCATGACATTTCCACATTGCATACGTTTGCCTTACTAACAGAATCATATCCTTAAGGATGACCCTCATTCCCTAACTAAAACAAATACCGACTAATATGATATTTTTAAGTGCCAGATCAATATGGTCTAAAGCCTCAATAAGGACTGTGTGTAGGTGAATAAAGACAGCTAAGTGAATGTGTGTAAAGTGTAGCAAGAGTAGACAGCTTTTTATGTACAGTATTCATAGAATGGAAAGTTAAATATTTTTGCAATGTGTATTTAAGAGAAACTCACCATAATAGTGCCATCTAAAACTCTTTGTAAAGTTAATTTAATGTCCTTTAGAAGTGGGAGTCTGGTGGAACTGTGTTGGATTTAAGATACATTTTCACTGTTCCGTATGTCATGAGCCTTGTGGGTCACCTTACTGTGGGGCATGTGCAAGGATGTGTGCACGCTTGTGTTTGCTTGTCCTATGTTGTGAGCTCTTCCAAAGGCACAAATGAGTCTAGGGTCGAGTCTGCAAACTCCTTGTACTTACTATGGTCAAGAAGTCCAGCGGCTTCCCAATATAGAGGTCCCAGTGCAGTTTGTCCAAAATAGCCAGCTCCATCCTTAGCAACTCATTCGGGGTATAGCCAGAGCCATAGTGCTTCATGAAGTCTTTTATGCGTGGAATTAACTGTAAAAAGAAAATAAAGAGGCCAAAGCCCTGTATCATGTCACAGTAGCTTTTGTTTTCTTATCCATGGGGGCTGGATGTCCATGAGCCTAGTAGAGTTGTCTTCAAGTGACCTGCCACAGAAAATACTTATGAAAGAAAAACCAGACCAGATCTAGACCATCTGTCAAGTCCCTAGGTAGTTGTTACAATGTGTAGTGAAGGGTTACCCTCTGCAAACAGCTTTTGATTCCCAGCTGTACTCCAGCTCATACCCAAAGGTGCTTTGAACACAGGGGCTATGCCATCTTCCCTGTTCAGCTGCAGAAACTCACCCAAAGCTTTCTAGCACCTGTGGGCTCTACCCATTCCTGTTCCTGAGCCCTACCACGATTACTTGTGGAAGAGAGAAAAGGTAGGCTTTTGAGTTTCCTGGTCTGCACTAGACAGCCTCAATTTTGGCAACACCATAGCTGCAAACACATTCCCTTTAGCCATGATTTAAGGCAGTTCAGTTTTGAAAAAAACTATGACATTTTCCCAGAGGGACTAATAAGGCTTGTCTCTGAGTAAACATTTAAGTACCAAGTGCATTAAGGACTTGGTCCTACTTTTTTAGATAAAGTACTACTATAACCTCCAGAAATACTTCTTTTAAAGGTCATTTACTTGATTTTTAGTTGGTCAAAAGCGACTTTGGGGGTGGGGGCATAAATTATATTCTAATAAACAGAAGTTAAAAACATTTTTATTGAAGGTTTGGAACTGGACACAAATGACTTTTTCTGTCCCCTCAGATCCTGAGATCAGCTAAGCAGAGCCCTGTGGAAATGGTAGTGACTCCACTCTCCCCAAAGGGAAGGGAGGGAGGGAGGTCTGGGAAGGGTATTGAGAAAGGATCTTCTCCTGAATAGAAGCCCCAGTGAAACTTAGAGGTCAGCAAGCCTGAAGCACTTGTAGAGACTTCTCCTCCACCCCCACCCCTCTCCAAAAAGGGTCCCAGAGTTCCCGAGGATCGTTGCATTGACACAGACAAGGCTTATAGTCTCAAGCAGCTTTCTTAGATGTAGTTTCCAGGGGTGGACATTAAGCCACATGGTTTGGGAGGCCTTTTCCTAGCTCAACAGCAGATGCCTCTGCTTGGTGGGAGGTGGCATCTGGCATCAATCAATGAGGCAAGATCTAGTTGCCAGGAGGTCAGGCCTCTGGGTTTGCTGGGCCAGGAGAATTCAGCTGTTCTCCTTCTCCATTTGTGGTCTCTCAGAGTCCAACAAGCCTAAGGAAGGAGCAGAGATCATGTGCGAAGTTAATAACTTTCAAAATGCCTACCATTGCCAAGTACACAGGAAACTTGAGTGCTCCAGTGTTACACCCTTATACCTCCAAAGTAGCTCAGAGTGGACTTCTAGAGGTGCTTACCTCCCCTTCTTCCTTAACCTTTGCAGCAAGTCTCCAGGAAGTGATTGTGACAATGTGGAGTAACCTCTCTTTTATCTGCAGTAGGGAACAGACAATTGAGTAGATGAATGCCAGAAACAAACTATAAAGCATTCATGTCTTTCTTTAAGAAATTAAATTTTTTCTTTTTTAAAAAAAGACTGATTATATTCGTCCACAAATAATTTAGTGCCAGTTTAGGTTTGACCAGTGGAAACGCTCCTGATAGCAGAACCACAGATGACTAGTCAGTAGTCCTTTCTTAGAGGACTGGCCAGAGGGGATAATGTGACACCTTCTCAGGGCAAATAGTCCCATCCTGGCTCAGGCCAAGCTGGACAGGTCCAGACAAGCACACCCTACCTTGTCACACAGGAAGTCCTTTCCCAACTAGGTCCACCCCTGACAACCACACAACACTAAGCAACAGGTGCAGGGCTGAGATGTGGAGAGGCTCCCATTCCCGTTCTACCTTTCAGCAAGTCAGTTCTGGGCATCTGAGATGGCTCATCTCTCAAGCAGCAATGGGGAGCAGAGGTCAGTTTCCTCTCCCACCATCCATCACCATCCATCACCATCCCTCAGAGGACTCCCTGCCTTTACTGAAACCAGAAGGCGGCGAAGACAGTGAGAGTCAGGATAAAAGTGGCCTAGGAGAAGTGAAAGATGTTCTCCAGCCACAGGCGCAGCAACTCGACTTCCTGGAAAGTGTCCCCCAACTCCACCTGCTTAAAAGGGGCAGTAGAGATGGCAGGGAAGGTGGTTAGTGGCCTGTCTCGGTCCACCAGTGGCAGGAGCCGCCTGTTTAAGGTGAGCAGCCCCTTCACCTTATATCGCAGTGGGCTGAAGCGCCTCCCTGTAGCCCAGCGGCTCAACGCTGCGGCCCCCTTCCCATGCCCCTGTTCCCGTTCTAAACCGAGTTCCCCGACCGGCACAGATCCTTTCTCCAAGCACCCGCAGTGCAGTGCGAGGACCAGGGAGTCCCGACTGGCGCCCGGTGCGGGGACGCATCTGGTTTCCAGGGTGTGGCTCACTTGAGCGCCGGTGCAGGTGGGGCCTGGCCGTGTCCAGAGCACGCGCGAGGTGGGGGATGCAGGAGCTCCCGAGATGGCCCGTTGCAGGGACCGGTGCCTGGGGGTGGACGCCCCGCTACAGGCGCGCCTCGCGGCCCAGGGCCAGGCTCAGGCGGCCACCAGCCGGCGCTCGTCCAGGAAGCCCGCCGAGTCAAGCGACAGCAGTCAGCGCTGGGCGGCGGCGGGGCCTCAGCTCGCGGGGTCCGCGCCACTCGTCGCCGGGGTCTTGTCCCTGGCCGCGCGGGGATGGGCCGCAGCGGGCTGGCACGTCTCGGGGAACCTTCTCCAGGTTGCCGGGGGAAGAAAGACGTTCCACGGAGGCGGCGGGAAAAGGAGGTTAATGGCTGTTTCCTTCAGACGCCTGCCAGGACGCGGGACGGACCTTACCTCCTCCGAGGCCGCCGGCTGAGGCGGGAACGTGCGCCCGAGGCCATTACGAGCGCCGGGTCCCGGTCTGGGCGCGGCTTGGCCCGGCTTTTATAACCCAGCGCCTGGGCTTCGGTGCTGGGCCGCTCCGGGGGCCCCACACCAGCCCCGCCAGCAGCTGCCTGGAGCATAGGCCCGCCCCTCCTTGACACTTGCTCCTGCGGTGAGGGACGCAGACCTGGGGACGCGGCAGGACAATGAGCGCAGGTGGGTGAGGGATCCTCTTTACCTTGCTGCCACCGGCGCTCGTCCACTGCGCGCCTCTTCCCCGCCCGAAGCCGCCGGCCCATGCTGATTCTGGAGCCCGGATGGGGCAGTTGGTGATCACGCGGGCCCTGGAGAAGGACACCGGACACAGACCCCGCTTGTTTCCTCAGACAGGCTTGGGAGGAGTTCCTGAACCCAGTGTGATCTCGTGCATGCGACTTGACTCTCTCTCTCTCTCTCTCTCTCTCTCTCTCTCTCTCTCTCTCTCAAAGGCGCTCATCTTCCCCACAAAAACCATTCATTCAGCAGTATTTACTTAAGGCCTACAATATGTTAGGTGCTGGGACATAACAGTGAATCAAATAGACGTGAACTTACATTCTATAGGAAAGACAGAACAAGAAACATGAGAAGAGAAGAATACATAGAATACATCCTAAGTATATGCCCAACAGAAATGCATATATGTGCAGCAAAAGACACCCAGTAATGTTCAGAACAGTACTATTTGTAATAGCCCCAAACTGGATACAACTCAAATGTTCATGAATAGTTGAATAAAACAAATTGTGGTATATTCATACAAAAGTATATCCATACAATGGAATATTATTCAGCCATAAAAAATAATGACTGATACATGCTACAATTGGGATGAAGCTTGAAAAAAATTACTCTAAGTGATAGATACCATTCACAAATGGTCACATATTGTATAATATCACTTATATGAAATGTCCAGAATAGGCAAATTTATAGAGACAGCAAATAGATTGGTATTTGCCTAGGGCTGAGATGTTGATGAGGGGGCCAGGGCAAGTGGGAGTGACTGTTATGAGTATAGAGTTTCTTTTTGGGGTGATGAAAATGCTTAAAATTGATTGTGGTTATGGTCGCAAAACTCTATATATAGCAAAAACCGTGGAGCTGTACAATTTAAATGGATGAATTGTGATTATATCTCAATAAAGCTGGGTATATGCATATATGAAATATATATATCACATGTATAGTATATCAGATGGTGCCAGTAATATGGAAAAAGTAGGAAGGGGAAATAAGACTGGGGTTAAAGGTGAGAATTTTAACTAGATCACAGTAGAGCTCCCTAAGAAGGTGATGTGTGAACAAAGACATTCTGAAGAAGGTAAGGGGGTCAGGCAGATATTTAGGGCTTTCTAGGGCCTGGGTTTAGATCTGAGCTTTGTCATTGCCCATATGCATGACCTTGGACAAGTTACTTACTGGCCCTGTGCCTCAGTTTTTTTTATCTGTAAAATAGTTATTCCCATTTTCTATTAAAATGACCAATAGTACCTATTTCAAATGGTTATTGTGTGAATTAAATTAATTTTAAAAAGAAAGTAAAGCACTTAGAACAGTACACTGACACTAAATAAGATACTTTATAGCTATTTTTATTAGCTCCTGCTGCAAGTGCAAAAGCCCCTGCATTCTAAAGTAGAAGCATGCCTGTAATATCATGAATCAAGGAGACCAGGTGGGACTGGTGCAGAATACTGAGCAAGGGGGAAGATTGTAGGACATGGGGAGAGGGTTTGTGACTTTCACTCTGTGAGATGGAAAATCATTGACAAGTTTTGAACAGAGAAAAGACACTATTTGATTCATGTTTTAACATTATCACTCTGGCTCCTGTGTTGAAAGCAGACTAAGAGGGCATAAGAATGCATGCAAGTAAAGCTATTTCTGAGCTGTTGTAGTAATGTATGAGAAATGGTGGTAGTGGTGAAAAGTGGTCAGATTCTGGTTCTACTTTGAAAATAGAGACATCAAGCTCTATTGAACGATTGGATATTGGATATGCGAGAAAGACTGGTTTTGACTCAAGCAAATGTCAGAATTCAGGTTACATTTATTGAGATGAGTTAAATTTTTTGATGTTTGTTAGGGGTTAGGAGCAGTAGGGATGGATACTGGGGGAGAGATAGATATAAACCTTTAGATTTTGGACACAATACACTTTAAATGCCTATTACACACCCAAGTGGAGTGGTGTTCAAGGGAGAGGTTCAAATAAGATAGGTGATAGATGGATCATTCGTTCTTTCACAAATATTTATTGAAAACCTACCCTTTGCCAGGTCCTATTTTAGGTCCCATTCTAGGTTTTGGAGATACTTGAGTATGTCGACACAGCATCTCATGACCTCACCTTCTAATGGTGAGAAGTCATAAAAACAAGTCAGCAATCAAGCTCAGTAATACTGTATGTAAAGTCTTTAGCTTTCCAGATGGGGCACAATGCACAATTGCTATTGTTTGTTGTTGTTTTTTATCCTCACCCCAGGACATTTTAGCATTTATCTTCAGATAGAGTGGGAGGGAGAGAGGAAGGAATAGAGAGAGAGAGAGACATCCATGTGAGAGACACTGCGCGTGGCTGCCACCCACACGACCCCAACCGGGCTGAGGACAAACTGCAACGGAGGCATGTGCTCTTAGGGGGAACCCAACCGCGACTCTCCAGTCCACGGGCTGACGCTCTAGCCGCTGAGCCAAACAGGCCAGGGCTGTTTGTTTTTTAACACTGGTGTACTGCAATCACCAGAAGACGGGTCTTGAGATAGAATAGCCTCCTTTTCCCAACCGGTGACAGCCAGGTATCCCTGCCCCCAAACTAGCCAGATTTTTAGCGCTGCGGAATGGCAGCATTGCGCAGGCGCGGCTTCTGTCTGGCGTCCTAGGAGACCGACTCCGAAAGCCTCGGCGCAGGCGTAATTCAAGAGGCGCTGGAAGCCTGACGCCCGGGGATGGGGCGGGGCGAGCTCGGAGTGCGCTTGCGCACAGCGCTCACTGGCCCCGAAGAGCCGCAGTCTCGAGAGCGCTAAGGCGGTGTTTCAGTGATCTCTGGCCAGCCTTTCCCGCGAACCCGGCGTCGTTGGACTGCACCCTGGGTGGGGACGTCCACCGGGTACGGGAGAGAGCCACGATGCCGGTGAGGAGAGTGGCTCAGCAGCTGTGGTTCCTCCTCATTTCAGCGGCCTGGCCCGGGGGCGCGGCCGTTGCCATGGAGGCGCGGAGCGGGCAGGCTGGAGGCCGGGGTGGGGCGGGGCAGGGCTGGGCCCTGCGGCAGGTTTGGTTGGGGAACCTGGCGGGTGGGCTTCCGGTTGGCCTTGGGAGGGACCCGGGGCAAGCTCTATTACCTTCGTCGCTGCTGCAGCCCACAGGGCCTGCGCTGCTTGATATAAAGGCGCTGTGCCCGAGGATGCGCTCTCGCTTTCAGCCCTGCCCGCTGTGTTGGGCGTCTGCGAGCGGCCGTAGAGGGTCAGTTTTGGATGCTCCGCACCCCGTAGGATCTCCACGCAGCTGAGCCAGGCCCCGGAAGGCAGCATAGCGAAGGCTGCCTGCCCCTACTCCAGGCCCCTGACTAGAACTGTCATTCCTCTTGTGGCGCCTTAGCTTACAGTGCAAGATTGTAACCCCTAGGTGTCTTTGTGTGTGAGGGGCTGCGGAGTGGGTGGTGGTAGGATTTGTAATCTTGTAGGATTTCACAGATTGTTATCGTGCACTTAGTAAAGGGGTGACCGTAGTCCAGTATAGGGTTATGGAGAACACCTGAGCCATGGCCAGTTATTCGCTTGTTATGAGGCCTTGGACAATTATTTAATCTTTCTGGGCCTTTAGTTCCCATATAATTTCACTTTTCCTCTTGGAATTATCATGATGAAATAAAATATTACTCAGGAGAATTAAAGGACAGTACTTGACACAGCAGTAAATACTCAATATTTGTCCCTTGTCGTTGCTTTCAAATTATTTATCAATTCATTCAACAAATATTGGGCACCAACCACATGAAAGGCATTGGAGATACAATATTGAGCAAAAGCAGCCTGGTTCCTGAACTTGGTAAGAGAGAAGCTTGCCTTCTTGGGTGGAGGTGAAAACTTTACATGTTTACATAGACAAGACACTTAACATTAATGAAGTCAGTCGGTGGCATACAATAGATAGAAGTAGATTCTTATTAATTGTAAAATGTTGCCATGTAGTTATGCTGGCTTACAGATGTCAGATCATCTATTTTTTCAAGAGAATCTAAAATTGTTATTTTGTGAAATTTTTCAATTTTAGCAACGAATTAAAAAGATTTTTAAATACTATGAGCCAAACAAAAGACAGGGTGGGCTGAATTCAGTTCCTTGACTACCTGTTTACACCCTCTGGTGTAGAAAGATGTTAATTAAACAAGGAGCAATCAAAAGAGAAATTGTAACCCAGATGTTGAAGGAGCGAGAAGGGTCCTTTCAGGACCTATACAGGCATACCTCGTTTTATTGCTCTTTGCGTTATTGCGTTTCATAGATGTTTTGTTTTTTACAAATTGAAGGCAGGACCTCCCACCAACAAAAAGATTATGACTACCTCTATTGCAGTACTCACTTTATTACATTACTCGATTTACTGTTGTGGTTTGGAACCGAACCTGCAGTGTCTTCGAGGTATGCCTGTACAAGGATTTGACCTATTCAGGGAAGTCTGCCCAGATGAAGTGGTTATTGAGCTGAGATCTGCAGTATAAATGAAGAGGAGTGTGAGAAGGAACAACGCGTAAAAAGGCCTGTGGTGAGAAGGATCATGGTGACAAGAAAAGGCCTAAAAGAAAGCCATTGTGTCTGTGGCCAAGAAAGCCAAACAGAGTGGTGAAATAAGACAGGAGAAGTAGACATGGGCCAGGGCCCAATCTTACAGACCACCTTAAGGATTTTTATTTTTATCCTAAGATATGTGGGAGACCACTGAAGAGTTTTAAATAGGGGTGTGACATGATTAGATTTGTGATGAAACTGACTGTCATGTGGAGAACAGAGTGTAGGGGAGCCTTATTAGATTCAGGAGTATAGTTAAGAGACTCTCATACTCCAAGATGAAATAATAGTGACTTAGACTAAGGTGGTAAAAGTAGAGATGGAAAGAGGTGTATTGTTCTGTTCCTTGTCAATGACTGGCTTGTAGTTGCTTCTCTAATGCTTAGCAGAGTATCAGAAACAGGAGTCATACTAAAACATTTTTCTCTGCTGCCATTGGACTTTCCTTTCTGTCATTTATTGTTGTCTTC